CTCCTATCTTCACGTTGGGTTGTTACAGATGGGCGACCGGATCGAGGACGGTCCTTAACATTCTGGGTGGCAACATGTTTTCTGACCAAACGGCTGATCACTGTGTAAGCTGTCTACCTATCGCCTTGTAGGACATACCAGCTGAATTCATGCCAATAATTTGCCATCTCTGCGCCTCTGATATCCGTCTTCTTGCCATTCTTACTTAAAATGATTTTGCATTCAGAAATTCGGGACCTAAATACGGATTTGATGCACAAGAAAATAGTGCATATTGGACGTGAAGAAGGGAGCAAGTTGCACGTGGGGAAAAAAAAACGCACCTGATTTAAATGTCACACCTGAACGCTCACATCCTTTTAATTATGTTTGAAATTATGAACATTGCTCAACATCATGAAAATTAAACCTTATTTTCAATAAGCAATCCTGAAAAATATTTGGGGGTGATTAATTTTTTCCAGGTGTATATGTACACACAGTTCTGATAGTAAGAAACTTGAAGTTCCGTATTCCTCTGATTCCGGTTGCCTTTAATTATTATCAGTTTTTAGAATACGAGTAATGTCAAAATGTGGCTCTCAGATTCTCTGTGTAACAGCGTCATTTTTCGATTTTGAAATAAGTTAATAACGTTGAATGAATTATAAATACTTCTGCAACTTTGGCCGTATTTGATATGATCAAGGTTCCAGATGTAATGTGTTTCACATTTGTTTACATTCTTCTTTACTTTTAATCGTAATTTATTAGAATTTCATTATAATTATCACACATACTTGACATAACCAAATAGCTGAACCAGAAACTAAAAGTGAAAGGCCTAGGGCGGCACGTTTTAAGGGGCGACAAATTTTGAGCAAAATTTGAAAAAGTTAGTAATAACTGAATTAATGTTCTTCTACGTTTTTGCATTATTTGGTACATTTACTTTCAGCTTTGTTGGAAAATTCGTTTATAAATTTTAAATTCTATTTAATTAAAATAAAACATTAGTTGCAATTGTTGTTTGATTGCGATACAAAATTTCTAAAATAAAAGATACATAGCATATAACGTTTTTGTGTTAATTGGAAGTTTCATGTTGTAATAATGTTTGTAGAATAAATAAAATTAATATATTTTTGAAAGTACTAAAACCTGAAAAATACAGTGGAGAACATTTCGTAACCACATTGCCGGCTTTGCCTAGTCGACAATTCTGTGCGCTAGTTTCGCAAAAAGTTTAATTGTGACACTTTTAATTGAATTTATGAAGCTGTTGCTTAGAAACTGGACATTGTTACATCTACACTCTACCGAGCATTGTTAGTCTGCTACATTATCACCTTTTCATTTTCAACAACTTAAAAGATTGGGCAGCTTATTACATCTACAGTCCACGTAATGCAAGATCTTTGTGGTATTGTACTAAAACATATTGAATAATACTTAGTAAACAACTGCTGTTATTGGTTTAATAACGTAAATTTATTATAGATTTCCGAAAAAGTTATTATAGGCGAG